ATAATTGCATATTATGACCAATATGTCACATATATGCTCATATTAGATTGGGTTTGAGTTAATTTGTGTTTCTAATTCCATTTGATTCAATTAGGGTTTTTGTTGATTAAAAAGCTACCACCATCTTAGAGATAATGATATCATTATACCATGTGTTTCAAAGCTTCAATACATATTGTGATAGAATATAAAATTAATCTTAAGGTTTCAAGTTACAACAATTAGCTTAAATATTGTTTTGTTGGTTTTTTTTTTGATATGGTATTAAGAGTTAACGTAACAGGATGGCCACGAATTCATATTTTTTCCATATAATTATACACAAATGGAATAACTTTTAGGCATTTAGCTGAGTTGATATTTTGACAAATCATATTAACGCAATACACTCCTTTTGGTACCTTGAAATAATAAGGCTATACCTTTTGGCCCCTTCGACATTCTTTCAACAGCAATTTAAACAAAGAAGTTCTTTGTTCGTGTTTCTTGTGTTGGGTTTGAGTTAATTTGTGTTCATATTGTATGTGCTGGGTTAAGATTTCTCTTTCGTGCAAGATTCACTTCATATTGCATTATTAGTTTTATTACTATATTGACTCAATGATTGTATGCACTATTGTTTTAAGAACGTGGCAGAATCTATAAATAAAATATTATAAAATGCCCTAACACAAAAAAAAAAAAAAAAAAAAGAGGAAGAGCTTGTGTTGCACAATACTGTTTTATACTCAAGTAACAATCTGATGTATCAACTTTAAAAACTTGCATGGTGAAATACCGAACAATAGAGATATAAACCTATAACCGTTAATATATTTAGCGCCTATTCTGATTTACTGAACTGTATTGAACTAGGAGCTGAACTAAGCTGAATTAAAATGAATTATTTAGAAGAGAAGGAAATTAGGAACTAAACTGTACTAACTAAACTGAAATTAAGCTGAACAAAACAAACCCTTAATACAAAGTAGCTTATTTGATTAATGGTAGACCTGACCAACATAGGTCTGACTAGGCGAGCCATGGGAGTAAAATTTTTTGGGCGGACCTTGAACATGTAATTTACACCTTTTTAGTTGTTATTTTGGACAGAAAAGTTGGTTAGGCCCGGTTGAAATTTGCTGGTTTAGCAAGCATTTTTGGTCCAAACATCAACCAGGACCGGCTTAATGGGCTGATTTGTAAGGCTTAGGCCCAGCCTGAACGGCCCATCCAATGATCACCTTTAATTTGTGAATTAGGTGATGAAATGTTGGAAGGAAGCTAGCTGGGGCTTTACACTTTTTACCATCTCTATCTTTGGGTAAAGAATGGCATAGATTGGCAATTTGACATATGACAGGTTATGTTTTGTGTATACAAATGAAATATTGGGATCGAAATTGATATGAATGATGCAAAACATCAATATGGTACTCCGAATTTTTTTTTTTTAAAAACCGAGGTTATAGTTTTGTATTTTTATTTTCAACCATTCCTATAGGAGTATAGGACTATAGGGAAATATGACTACCAAAATTAAGAGGTGTTCCAAACGGAGGGTTGTGAGATAAATAAATTATGTCTCACAAGGGTAATATAGGCATTTCAGACGTTATTTTAGAGATGTCTCATTGAGCTGTTAAATCATACCACTGGAACTTCAGTGGTACAAAATACACTCCCAGTGGTATAAAATATAGTCTCAGTGGTACTAAAAAAGATTCAACTAGAGTTTCAGTTGAACAAAATATAGACTCAATGGTAGTGGTCTTGTTAAATTTTTGTCCGTTTTGCACGTGAAGTGGAGCCCACACTACCTTTTTCACTCTTCCTATCTCTCTCCACATTTCTCTCTCTTCATTGAACCTTTTTAATTTTTTTAATAGTTGTGAGATATTTTGTTTTGTCTCACAACACTCCCTTTTTACTTCCTCCAAAATTAATGTTTCTTACAATAGAGGTGGTCCATATGACAGTGTGACTTGGCTTTTTAGTCCAGGTTTTCTTCTTTGCAATAAGCCTGAACTAGTCAATATCCAAATAATCCAATGATGGCGATGTTGAATACTTGGGCATATATAGATGTTGGGCTGTTGCAAATGTTTAATTTAGATTTTAGGAAATTCTGCAACAGACTTAAATATGAACACATTATACATAAAAAATAAAGATACGTATTTTTCTTCCTTATATTTTAACTCTATCTCTCTTTTTCTTTCTTAGCTCTATTAATTTTCTCAATTCAAAATTTCACTCTCCTCTTTTTTCCCTTTCCTTAAAAGTTTACTTTATTACTTCCCTTTAATCTTTAAACTTTTTTGTCCTACTCCGGATATTCTCCAATTCGTCACCACCGTACCATTCTCCATCGTCATCATCTTCGTCGCGATTATGAATCTTGAGGTAATTTAATTTAATATTTCTTTTGTGTGTTTATGAATATGCATGCGAATGTTGTAAAATTGTTGATTTCAATCAATTTTGCATTTGTGATTACAAATCTATCATATTATTGATCAAAATTATTGTCTCTATGATATATCAAGATTCGATATAAGGCGGATATCCAAATTTTTAGAGCTAAAATAATTACAAATGAACTAATATATAGTTTCTGTAAAAAATGAACACAGAGTACTTTAAAATTGAACAAGTTCGTACAAAATGAACATTTAGTACACTAAAATGAACATTTAGTGCACTAAAATGAACATATTTTAACGATTTATTTTAGCTTTATTTTTCGTAAATTTATTATATACAACGAATTCGAACCTATATGAATATATGAAATCATGTTCATTTTAATATATTAAATGTTCATAATATTATTTGACATGTTCATTTTTTTTTACGTTTTTTTTATACTAAATTATCATTTATTTAATGTGCTCATATATTTTTACGAAATGTTCATTTTATTTGGTATGGTCTAGCTATTTTATGATTGTATCATAAATGTTCATTTCTAATATACTAATGGGTCAATTTTTATTTGATATGTTCACTTTTTATTACTAAATGTTCGTTTTTTTACGCGTTCATTTTTTATTACTGAACATTCCTCTTTTTACGTGTTCATTTTTTTTTACTAAATGTTCGTTTTTAAGGTCGTAGTCTAGCAAATATATGATTATATGATAATCATGTTCATTTTTCACAAATGATCATTTTTTTAATAACATGTTCACTTTTTAGTATTACATGTTCATTTTTTTTACATATTCATTTTTTATTATTAGATGTTCATTTTTATAAACTAAATGTTCATTTTATAGAGCGTGGAATTGATTTGGGCGGGTCACGAATATATTATATGGGTATTTGATTTGGGCCGTGCGTTCGGGTCTTTCCTTGTTGAAGCTATAATAGCTACATTAGTATGTAGCCAAGACCCATTGAGTAAAATGATCTAAGAAAGAGCTTCCATCTTGGGTTAGAATTAAAGTAAGATTGGTGTAGGATATAATCCTGTGGATTTGATAATGTTTGGTTTAGACCAAATAATCACCTCTACCAATGATTACCGTTTGAATATGTAAAAATTATTAACTTCCAAGTATATTAATTGGATTAATTATCTTTTATTGATACATATTGGATGAAGTATGTTTAATTGGCAATGTATTGATCAACAATTTCAAGTATTTTAAAGTAGAGGGAATTTCAACTTATTTATACCATTTTAATCTTAAACAAGATATCTTTCAAAAAAGAAAAAAAAAATTATTAAACAAGATAAACCAATTTGAACCCATCCCAAATCTTAGTTCATTTTGGGATGTCCTACAAAGGCTACAATTGTCCCATTTCCTTATATGTCATATCCACACATTAATTCCACTTGCATACATTCAAAAAGGACAAAATTACACTTATTTACTTGTATTATTTTGGTTCAATTCTTATTACATTCATAATGCATTTTGCATAATGGAATAAATAGAGGGAGGAACTAGGAGATGGAGGGATGGTTATTCCATCCCTCCATCTCACCCTCAAGTGGTGGGAGTTCAAATCCTCATCGCCCCATTCCTATGACAAGATGGAGCCCTTCTCGTATTTTATCGATTAAAAAAAATATTAAATGGAATAAACATATAAAATATAAATATGAAGGGAATAAAAAAAAAAGATTAATGGAATAAACATATATAAATATGAAGGGAATACTTCACATGCTCTTGGAATCTTGGTTAGCTATTTCAGCCATCATTTTTATGGAGAAATTCGGAATGCGAAATTTCCCAAATTGGGGCCATGATCTAGCCAGCCAATAATAGCAATTTGAAGAGTTAGCCCATCTTTTTTGACTTGAAACTTATTTTATATTGACTAGGACTTGAAAATTTTAATTTAGTCAAAGTTTATTTGTTGAGTTTTTATCTAATCTTATCTTGCTTTTAATCAATAATTGTTTTATTTCAACAAACAGAACGAAGTCGAGTTTTAACAAACTAGGACTTTGGATAACACTAAGGATAGTACCAAAATGCAATCCCCCCAATTCCTATTAATTGTTTTTCCTCAACTTCGATGATCTTTGACAATTAAATATTAATAACATATAAAGTATACGAAATAAAAGAGGGTTAAGTAAAAAAGAGTAGAAGAAGTATATAATCAGTAAAAAAAAAATCAAACGTCTCAATTATTCTAAAGGGTGTAGTAACTACTCCTTCCATTCTCTTTTGTTCATTACTCTTTATTCGTTAATTTTCAAGTGTTATAAACAATTAAGAAGAGTTCCACCTTATAAATAGGTGGAACTCATATGGCCACTAATTTTTAATTTTTACGGATTTGTTTAAAAAATTAAATTAAGAAGCTATTAGGTATTTGGATTACGCGTGTTTATTATCCATATAACACGGTAGCCTCATTTAATTCGGCAATATAGAAAGAAAAGATTGTACAAATAGTGATGCTATTTTGACCAAGATTTATCATAAGTTTGTCCATCCAAAGTATATAAAGGCTGCTAATAATACAGGTACACGACCGTTAAGGCAATAACATTAAATGTACTAGAAGCTAAGGTATAATTTTCAAACACAACCACAATTATTTCCAATTCTAAGGGCATCCAAGTAAATCTTACACCATATTAATTTCTATAAATAGGCTATATTTTCTAGCAAAATCATCAAACTAATTATTTAATCCTGAAATTTATTTTTAAAAAAAGGTTGAGAAAAATGGAGAGCAAGAGTTTTATGGTGATGGTTGCGGTATGCCTTGCACTGGCAGTCGGCACGGCGGCGCAGAGTGCGAGTAATGTGAGGGCAACGTACAATAACTATAACCCACAAAATATAGGGTGGGATTATAACACAGCGAGTGTGTATTGTGCAACATGGGATGCTAATCAACCTTTGTCATGGCGCCAACAATATGGTTGGACTGCCTTTTGTGGCCCTGCTGGTCCTACTGGTCAAGCTTCTTGTGACAAGTGTCTCAGGGTAAGTATTTTACAATTACGCTACGTAGTATTTTATGACAAATTCAAATGATGACTCGTGAGTCTATGAGATTATGACCATAAACTATTTAAGTTGATTATTATAGAACACCTATACGTCAAAATCTATATTACTTGTATCTTAAATACTTGTAACTAATATACTACCTCCGTTAACTTTCAGTTGCAAGTTTAGATTATTATTTGTGAGATATAAAATATTACAAAGTTGCAACTAAAAGATAACGGATGTAGTATATATATATATATATATATATATCTTAAATCCAAAAGTAATATCTTTGTGTTAAATCAAGCTCACGTTAGTTGGAAGTAAGTTTGACCAAGTTTAAATCTTAGCTAGTAGCTAGGTTTCATATTTTAATTGAATTGATGTTGATTAGTAATCCATATTTATGTATCAATATTGGTCATCCTATTTTATCTTGTTGATGTGAAACTTAGTCTCAAATATTATATTACGTGAAATTTCATTATTAACTTATCTCATCATATATCTTATGGGTATTGTGAAACTTATGGGTGTTGTTTTGATGCAGGTAACAAACATGGCAACGAATGCCCAAGTAACGGTGAGAATAGTTGATCAATGCAGCAATGGAGGGTTAGACCTTGATGTTAATGTCTTTAATCAAATTGACACCAACGGTCAAGGCATTGCTCAAGGCCACCTTCAAGTCAATTACCAATTTGTTGGTTGCTAATTCCACTACCTAATGACTTATGTAGTCATCTAGCCTATGTAACTTTCTTTGCCTATGTTTTATGAATAATTTTCAAAATATGCTACAATATGAATAAAGGACATCTCATTGCATTGACTAATCTTCTAGTGAGAAATGATATCTCAATTTCATATCTCAATTTCGCCTTCAAATATCAAGCACGTTTTAATTAAGATTTACTTAAATAAAGTATTAGGGATTACGCAGCTATGTTAACAAAAGGATATATATTACGGAGTATGTATTTGTAAAGGAAAACAATGTTGGAAGTTAAAAAAGCTACAAGTATATAAAATTGTCTTGTTTATTTTTAAGAAAGGGAATTGTGTGTAATTATCCCTTTTATATTTTAAAAGAAAAGGGGGGGGGGGGATAGAGGCACATATATTGAATATTAAAAATAATTTGAATGCATGATTTAATTGTGATAGAGACTTCAACAATTTTTCAAAGATATATATCCTTGAGATATACTTGATACTCCATTTATTTTTTACATTATCCCATTTTGATTCGTCTTGCATTGTGTGTCAATATGTACAAACTTTTGATCTTGTCAAAAAAAAAAAAAAAAAAAAAAAAAAACTTTTGTCAATAATATCTCATATATAAGTATTTATTTTTGAGGAAAACTATATATAAGTATAAATTATGAAAAGTTGGTACCACTTAGTCCGAAATTATGCACTGGAACAATTTCAACAAGTAATCAACATGATTAAAATTTTCTCTTATCTATAAGGCACTTACATTGGTTGAAGAGGATTATGTGAATAATACAAAACATTCAAAATGAGGCACTCTAAAAATGAAGGGATACATTCATACTATTTTATTATTACAAGAGAGCAATCAAAAAGAAAAGGAAAAAAACAAAGGCTTTGTTTGGCACTAGCTTTTCATCAAATAGTGGTTAATAGTTTGACTTGGTCAAAATACTGGTTACAATAATAGAAGTATTTGATAAAGGCCTTGTTTGGGAGAAAGCTGAAAGCTGAAACTGATTGAGTTAGCTGATTTTGACTAGCTGATTTTATTAACTTATTTAACTAACTTATTCTATTAACTGATTATATCAAAGTGTTTGGTAAATAGCTGATAGTTTAAAGGTGATTGAGTATGTGAAATGACCAATAAGCTAATTGTGGGGTAGGTAGTTTAGATAGGATTTTAAATTTAATGAGGTTATAAGTGTCATTTCACAATAATTAATGAATAAGCTAATTGAAAAAGCTCCTAAAATGAGGTTTTTCAAAAAGAGCTTATTTAGTGGAATAAGCTCTTTCTATAAGCTTACTACCAAACACTTATATTAGCTTGTTTGACTAATCAATCAGCTAAAGTTAGTCAAATAAGCTAATATATCCCCAATAAGCTTACTACCAAACAGGGCCATAATGTTTATTTAATGATTAGTGGAACAAATAACTATAGACTAACTTTCGACGAAGAGTTTAACGTTCTAGGAGTCAAGGCAGCGGTGTAAAAAATGAAAATAAGTACTCACAAGGTCTAACTAAAAAAGAAATAAAAGACACCATAAATATTCATTATGCAATATTATTACAAGGTTTAATCAAAGTATCAACTTGGTACAACGCACGGACCACACAATACTTTATTTTAGGAGTAAGAATATTGATAAGAGTCTAAATAGGAAGATCAATTTAAAAAGGAAAAAAGAAAAAAAAGAAAGAAAATGAATTATGAATCGACTAAGGACCTGTTCTGATTGTTTGAATTAAACTGGACTGAACTGATTATTTTCTGAGAGAAGGAAATTAAGAACTAAACTGAGCTAAACTGAATAGAACTGAAAATAATCTGAAGAGAACAAGACCAAATTAGTTTGATCTAAATTGTTTTAGGTAGATAATGTTGTTTAAGTTTAATGCAAGAGGTATCATTATAGTGTTATACAGAGTATAAATGCTACGTTTTACAACTAGTGGCCCCACGTCATTGCATAAATCAGCTCGTTAACTTGCGAAATTTCCATGCTGTTTGGGCCAAGTCCATTGTCATAAGCCCATTGACCTGGAATTACGAAAATACCCTCCGTGGTCCAGCCCATCATTAATGGTTGAAAAGTACAGATTTACCCTTAATATGTCCAATTAAGTACAACTCATGCCACCTGAAAGTACATCTATAAATAGCTCTCCAATCATTGATGATGGTAACTTTTTCCTAATTCTCTGATCTTCTCTCTCTACTTTCTCTCTCTAAAGTACACTTTCTCTCTCTACTTTCTCTCACTAGAAAGTGCGTTCGCTGACTTAAGCATCGGAGGGGCTTTCCCGGGTCACACCCCCGGGGCAATTAACCTTCTTTCTCTTTTGCAGGCCTAGCTCTCGGACAGCAAGGCATAGCTGAGGGAAATTCGGACATTCATTGGACATAGTTTTAGGACATCTTGATTACCCTTACTACCCTAAGACTCCCAAGAGCATTCTGTTTCCAGAAACAGGTGGCGCCGTCTGTGGGGATTGTTAACAAAAAGTCATGGTGAACACTAGGCGTCCACGCAGCACATATCAAGATGCTACTAGAGAAGCTCTGAATCTTTCAGCTTGGCATAAGCATGAAGTCGAGGAAAATATTAGAGGCAAACCCTTATACAAGCTAAGCTCTCATCATTTTACAACTCACTTAAATGAAATGAACAATTCAAGAATCATGGGCAAGCCGAGCCCCCTGCTGGTCTACATTAGGCTCTCGGCATGCCCCACCGAACATCAAGGACCTCGGCTTGCCTGGCTACCTCCTAGGCATGTCAACATACCCCCTCGGCTTGCCTGGCTACCCCCTGGGCATGTTAGCATACCCCCTTGGATTGCCTGGGTACCCTCTCAGCCTGCCTGGCTACCCCGTCAGCCTGCCAGCATACCCTCTCGGCCTGCCAGCATACCCCCTCGGCCTGCCTGGCTACCTCCTCGGCCTGCCAGCATACCCTCTCGGCCTGCCTGGCTACCCCCTTGGCCTACCAGCATACCCTGGCTACCCCCTGGGCATGTCAGCATACCCCCTCAGCTTGCCTGGGTACCCCCTCGGCCTGCTTGGCTACCCCCTCGGCTTGCCTGGCTACTCCCTTAGCATACCTAGCCGAAGGCCATGCTTCTATCAACCGCCTCGGCATGCCTAGCCGAGGGTTATGCCTCTAGCTATCATCTCCTCGATATGCCTAGTCGGGGGATATGCTTCTATTAACCATCTCGGCATGCCTAGTTGAGGGTTATGCTTCTATCATCTCCTCGGCTTTCTTGGCATGCCTAGCCGAGATCTAAGCCTCTACCATCTCCTCGGCATGTCTAGCCTAGGGATATGCTTCTATCAACCGCCGTTGAAGGCTATGCCTCTATCATCTCCTCGACATGCCTAGCCGGGGACTATACATCTATCAACCCCCTCGGCATGCCTAGCCGGGGGCCATGAGTTTATCAACCGCCTCGGCATGCCTAGCCAAGGGCTATGCCTCTATCATCACCTCGGCATGCCTAGCCGGGGACCAAGCTTCTATCAATACCTCGGCATGCCTAGCCGGGGACTATGCATCTATCAACTGCCTCGGCATGCCTAGCCGAGGGCTATGCCTCCATTAAACCTTTGACATGCCTAGTCGAGGACCATGCTTCTATCAACACCTCGACATGCCTAGCCGAGGACTATGCTTCTATCAACCGTCTCGGCATGCTTAGCCGAGAGCTAAGCCTCTACCATCTCCTCGACATGCCTAGCTGAGGGCTATGTTTCTATCATCTCCTTGACAAGCTTCTATCATATCCTCATCATGCCTAGCCGAGGGATATGCATATAACAACCCCACATCATGCCTAGTCGAGGGATATGCTTCTATCATCTCCTCGGCATGCCTAGCCGCGGGATATGCTTCTACCAATCCCTTGGCATGCCTAGCTGAGGGCTATGCTAAGATGAAAACACCCTTCTTCAACATGAACTTTACTAGATCAAGGAGGTTATTCACTCGAGGGTCTTCCACTCACAAGTTCCAAATACTAAGGAACATGATTTCCTTAGCTTGACTCCCAAGTTCAACGTTCTCCTTAATACTAGGAGCCAGTATTTACCAAGTCAAAAAAATCAGTTATTCAAAAAGATAATTATTTAATTAAAAAAAGATAATTATTTATTTATTAATTAAAAGATAAATAATTAATTAATTTAAAACTTATCTTTTTAAATTAATGAATTATTTATTTATTTATAAAATCTTTTTCAAAACTGATTTTTTATCACTTCCTTAAATTAAGGGATATGAAAACTGTTTTAAAACTTTCGTTTAAAACTTTCTGAGTCAATTGTCAAGTTCCTTCGGGAACTTCAGGTTCCTTCAGGAACTTCGAGTTTCTTCTTAATTCTTTCCAACACTTTTGTTTCTTAAGTTCGTACACTGAGTAACTAAGAATATAGAGTTGTGAGGACATCTTGAAAGCTTGCATTCATCATCAAGTCTTCCAAACTCTGTTGTTCCTACTCCGGAACATTTAACTTCAAACCTGAATCTTCTGTTTTAACCAAGACTCATAAACGTCGTTAGTCAAAGTCTGTTTTATGTAGGTCAATCATCAAAATATAAGGTGGTTAATTCAACACTAACAATCCTGCTTCAGAAATAATATCCAAGGTGTATTTCCGTTGACATAAAAACAAACCTGACTTACTACGAGCAACCTCTATGCCCAAAAAATATTTCAAAGGACCAAGATCCTTCATCTCAAAACAATCAGAGAGATAAGCCTTGAACACAGATAATGCAGCGGAATCATTCCCAGAAACAATAAGATCATCAACATAAATCAACACATTAATCTGAACAGTACCCCTAGTGTATGTAAACAGAGAGTAATCAGAGTAAGATTGTAGAAAACCATACCCTTTCAAAGCCGCAGTCAATTTTCCAAACCAACACCTTGGAGCCTGTTTCAACCCATACAAAGATTTTCGCAGACGACACACCAAAGTTGGATCTGAACTCTCAAAACCTGGAGGTAATTTCATATACACCTCCTCTTCCAAATCACCGTGCAAAAAGGCATTCTGAACATCCATTTGATGAAGCTCCCGATTTTTAGAAGTGGCGATAGCAAGGAAAGCCCGAACTTTTGTCATTTTTGCGAC